CCAGTGACTGACTCTTGATTTCCGCTCAGGTCATGATCATGTGGTTGTGGGATTGAGCCCGCATTAGGCCCCTCACTGAGGGTGGAGACTGCTTGGGATTCTGTCTCTCCCTCTCTCTCTCTCTCTCTCTCTCTGTTCCTCACCCACTCGTGTTCTCTCTCTCTCTCTCTCAAAATAAACAAATAAACTTTACAAAAAGAAGAAAAGAAAGCACCTACAGCCACACAGGGCAGTCTGAGTGCCTGAGATGAGGCTGTGAGTGCACCCCATAAGCTGTAGAGGGCGCACATAAAGGGGACATGCTGTACGACAGAGTGAGGCGCTGACGGTGTGATTATTTGCCAGGATACACGACCCGGTGTGGTCTGTCTGCCTGCAATAGCAGGGCAGCTCGAGCGGTGGCCAGAACAGAGGGCTCAGTCCACCTCCTGCTCCCTGGCCGTCTCCACACACCAGCAAGCAGGGCTGGGATGTGCTCTGTGCACACCCTGCGGCCCACCGTCTCCAGAGCCTCAGGCCAGAGCAGGGAGTGGCAGACATCAGCCCCCAGAGCAGGAGCATGGAGTACCGGGGAAGCGGGGCCTGACCAGTAGGTAGCAATGATTCAGGTTGGGTGGAGGTGGGGAGAGACACTACGAGCTGGGAAGAGGACCAGAGTCAGAATCAGAATAGCTGGACGATGGCCTCTTCTCTGCCACTCACTGCTGTGTGGCCTAAGGAAAGTCACTGTCCACTCTGGGCCTGTCTTCTCAACTAAAGAAAAAATCAGGGGGACAAAGAAGACATGGGGCCCTCAGACTTCTCACAGGCCATGCGTCTCTGACCAGAGTGGCGTCCAGGGCCCGGCACCATTAGGCTGGATGCCCAGAAGGGCAGAGCTCAGCCAGTAGACTTTGGGGCACTCTGACCTCTGCCCCACAGAGAGGTTCCCTCCCACCTGCTCTGTGTTTCACCCCCCACACTTCACTGTCCCTGTTGCCCTTCATTCAGCCCTATATCCAGGTCTGGGGACAGAGGGTCACCTGGCCCTCCTGCCTTCATCTTCCAGCTCCCCTCCCCGAAGTGGTCTGCCCAGGCTGGCTGCCTGCCATTTGCCTCTCCCTGGTTGGTCCCTCTCCCAAACTGGCACCAGTATTAGGCCTGAGGGTGGGCCAACAGGTCAGTGGAAGCTGGACTAAGGAGGAGAAGCTAAAGGGAAGGACAGGGACCACCAGATCCAGGCAGGGTGACCAAGGAGGGCTGGCTTGGGAGCCTTTGCAGGGCCACCAGGTGGGTACCCATGGGCAGGGCTGAAGCTGTTATTAAATATCTTTAATCACCCTGTCACTTCCTACCACTCAGACCCAGAGAAGACAGACGTGAAACCAAAGCGCACAACTTTACTGTGACCCTTGACCAAACATCCCCACTAACTAACCTCATAAGAATAGACAGAGTCACGTTTGCAATGCCAAGAGAACACACTTTATTGGGTAGAATTCCAGGGGAACCTAGTTTTGCATAAAAGCAGTTAAGTCCAGAAACACAATATAAGAAGTCATTTTGGTAGAAAAAAAATCTGCTGAGCGGGGAGCCCCTCTAGGGAATGGAGGGGGGGTCATTTAGAGCCAGGAGCCACAGGGGTGTCCCTCCGGGGGGCTGGCTACAGTGGGCAGGGCTGCAGGTGCTCCCTGGAGGAGACGACCTTCCCGTCTCTGATCTCCTCGGTGATGGTGCGGATCTGGGTGCTGACCTGGGGAGCCGGGCCGCAGGGCACAGCCGGAGCACAGGGCACAGTCGAGACGTAAGGTACCCTAACGGAAGGCTTGCATTCTGTGGCACAAGGGTGGGCAGGCAGCCTGAAGAAATGAAATCATATCAGAGTGCATTTGGCATCGGGGCATGGGACTGAGATTCACGTTAAGCGGATTTAGAGGATAGAGTACAGGTTTAGGATGACAACAACCGATGGCTTCGGTGCCTCTGAAACCCCCCAAGGGCTGCAGGGGGGAAGACGAGGAACTCCCAGCTAAGCACCATGGTGGGAAGGCACTGTGGGGGGAAGGGGGGGTGCAGCTTGTGCCCCTGTAATGACCAAGCTGGGACAAGAAGGGATCTCAAGGGAGAGGTTTTGGATCAATCGCTGTCATCCACTGCAGACTGACACCCTCTCTGAGGCACTGAGGGCTGGTCCCCGGGAGCCCTGTCCCCACGCCTGGCTCTCTGGGGCTCACAGCCACTCACTTGCAGTCCTCGCCCTCCAGCAGGCGGCGGTAGGTGGCAATCTCCGACTCCAGCCGGGCCTTGACGTCCAGCAGCACCTGGTACTCCTGGTTCTGCCGCTCCAGGTCACAGCGGATCTCGGCCAACTGGGCCTCCACGTTGCTGATCAGGCACTGCATCTGGGCCAGCTGGGAGCTGTAGCGCGCCTCGGTCTCCGCCAGGGTGGATTCCAGGGAGTTCCTCTGGAAGGGGAAAGAGGAAGAGCCGCCAGTGGAAGGGAGTCCCAACCAGAGACCCTGTAGCCCTGGGTATGTGCATATCCTGTGTGATCACGCCCCATCATGAGCCCGCACGCTGAGGCTGGGGGGTCAGGGCTTTGCCAGGAGCTGTGGCCAGTGACTGGGGCAGAAGCCACCCACCATGCTGTGCTGGGCCTGCAGCTCGATCTCCAGGGCATTGACCGTGCGTCTCAGCTCGATGATCTCCGTCTGGCAACACTGCAGCTGCTCCGAGCTGGACATCACCTGCTGGTTCAGCTCCTCGGTCTGAGGGCCCAGAGCATGGTCAGACCAAGTGAAGCTACTTTAAAGGGGAACCCCCTGCCCCGGGAGCTGGTGCCTGCCCCCTGCCGCCCCAGCCCAGCGGCCCCAGCCCCACCTGGGTGTTGAACCAGGCCTCCACGTCTCGACGGTTATTCTCCACCAGGGCCTCATACTGACATCTCATATCATCAAGAATCTTGTTGAGATCCACCGGGGGGGCAGCATCCACCTCCACGTTCAGTCGGTCCCCAAGTTGGCAACGGAGTGTGTTGACTTCCTGCAGAGGGGAAGCAGGATGGCACACGGTTGGGAAAAGGGTGCCGGATTGAGGGTTCCAGTGGCTGGATTCAAACCTTCCTCCCGCAGGTGCCGGCTGGGTAACGTTAGCATATCAACTTCTCTGAGCCTCGGTCGCCTCACGGACACACACCTGCCTCCTCTGGGGATTTGGGAGGGTAGGGTGACATGAGGCAAACATCAGGCAAATAGAATAAATGTTATCAGGCGCTAGCATCCAGAGGGAGATCTCGTGTCACGGGCAGGAGTGTGGGATCTGTGTGACCTTAGGCACGTGACTGAACCCCTCCGTGCCTCGTTTTTCTCATCCGTAAAATGGGATCATTGTGAGGACGAAATGAAGCGAGAACAAAATGCAAAGTGTTTCCAACAGCTCCGGGCACACAGTGTGATGTCAACAAATGTCAGCTGGAGCTCCTGGGGGGGTAGCTGTCACAGTTGTTAGCCCCAAGGGTCACCGGGGGCTCCCTGCCGGGTGGGAAACTCCGGAAAGTCACACGACACGAGCCTCACCTCCTCGTGGTTCTTCTTGAGGCACAGCAGCTCCTCCTTCAGGGACTCCACCTGGGCCTCCAGGTCGGCCTTGCACAGGGTCAGCTCGTCCAGGATCCTGCGCAGGCCGTTGGTGTCGGCCTCCACCAGCTGCCGCATGGACAGCTCCGTCTCGTACCTGCACACACACACACAACCCTGCTGGGTCTGCAGCGAAGGAGCCACGCACAGGCAGGGTCCCCCGCCCTCCGTCAGCTGCGGTGGCTGATTTGGGGTCAGCAGCACGCTGGGCGTTTCCTTTGACCCGGAAGGGATCCAGGGCCTGTGCCGTATTCCCGCTTACGGTTCGGTCTGGCCTCACTCCCACCTCCCCAGCTCCCAAGGCCGGAGGGCAGAGGCGAAGGAAGACACAACGGACCTTCCCCGATGAGGCCCACTCACTTGGTCCGGAAGTCGTCGGCAGCCAGCTTGGCGTTGTCAATCTGCAGGACTAGCCTGGCGTTCTCAGCCTTGGTCAGCAGGATCTGGGGAACAAGGGGCGTCCCGGGAGCTAGGAAAGGCCCAGCTCACAGAGGGCATGCTTCTAAGTACCACCGGCACCTTCAGCATGCCCAGCCCCGAGTCCTGAGCCCTGAGCCCAGACATGGAAGGAGCATCAGTCCCAGGAAGGGCATCACTAGAAGTAGGCCCCAGAATGGCACGGCGGGAGGCCTCAGGCTGAGGTGCAAAGATCCAAGCCAACCCGGATTCAGATCCTGCATCTCACACTCACAGGCTGTGCGATCTCGGGCAAGTTTGCTGAACCTCCCGGATACTTAACTTCTGCCTCTGTTAAATGGGCCCAGTAATACCCATCTCTCCAAGGTGAGATCTCCAAGGTGAGTATTACCCATCTCTCCAAGTAATCTAACAGATGGGAAAGCATCGGGCGCTGTGCCTGCATTTGGTAGAGGCTGGGTACATGTTATTGCCCTTCCTATAGCTAAGACAGCCAGGGGAGGAGAGGGATGGCTGGCATAGATGCACTTAGCAAGAGACTCACAGAGAGGTCTGGGTCCCCCCCTGCCCCCCGCCCCAGAAAACCAGAACCCCCAGAGAAAATCTTGCCCTGAACAGAGAATTCCCTAAGAGGTCCTAAGAATTCTCATCCGTCTGTAGTCCCTTGGAATGAGACAGGACCCTCCCCCCCCACCACCACCCCACTCCCAGCCAGGGCTGGGGATGCTGGGGAGGGGCCAGGTCCCCATTACCTTCTGCTGGAGGTCCTCGATGGTCTTGAAATACGACTGGTAGTCTGGGCAGATGTACGGGATCTGAGACTCATACCACTCCCGGATCCTGGTCTCCAGCTCTGCGTTCTCCCGCTCCAGCTGGCGCACCTTCTCCAGGTAGTTGGCCAGGCGGTCGTTCAGGAACTGCATGGTCTCCTTCTCGTTGCCATTGAAGGCGCCTTCGCAGAACCAGCCCCCGCTCCCAACAAAGCC